CACGTATCCTACTTCCACTCAAAATCGTAGCGGTATCATGGGATTTGACCTATACAGCAAGTTGCAGGGAACAGCAGACCTGCAAGTCAGCATTTATGCTCCCAGGTTCTATCCCCAGGACCGTGTGATCGAGACCCTTCAGGAAGGGGGGGTCGTAAAATTTTTGAAATTTGTCCAACGTGACGGTTGACCCTGGCTAGAGCCCGTTTCTTGACGTATTACATGGGAGTTTCAGTGTTGCTCGCAGAGAGAAGTGAGGAGTCTTCACTCGTGTTTTCATTCCCATCCTCGGTCGCGCTTACTTTTGTGGTATTCATATACGCCATTTCTTCGGTTTGGAGTATGGATAATGGCCCACAGACATGTGGGCCGCCCTTGATTGGTTTTTTTTCGGTCATGTACTTTGCTTTCCTGAATGCTCTTCCACCCTTCAGATGCGTTAGGCTTCCATGCACTGTTAGAAAGCTGGATTGGGCATTACGGGCTTAGGATACGAATCATTTCCTTCATCGAGTGCGTTTAGATCAATTCTAATATTGCTTCGCATCTGTAGAATCCCGTGCTCAGCAAATCTTAACAGACATGCGTCATCTTCAAAACATTTCGTGCACTTGATCATACGATCTGTTTTTCCTCACATGACTGTGCTTACACTGTCCAGTTTGCTACTGTGCCGTTACTGTGTTGCCTGCTGTTGCTTCTTTTCCAATAATCCTTACGTGAAAAGGTCATTCGGCAGCGTTTTTACTCTTGCAGTCTCGCTTGAGGCTCAAAAATCTGTAGAGCTCTTTTTTTCGAAGTAGTTCTTCAACAATTCGCCTATTCATCACTCTTCTCACTACCCTTCCCTTTGCTTTATTTTGTCGCCGCTAAGCGCTTTTGTCAATGATAAGAGGAATTCGGAGTGTTACTGACAAAATAATATTGCCGCAGTGATGAGCCACTACTTTCACATTTTGATACGGTTTTTTCTTTTGTTTCCTTACCACAGAATTCTTCAAATAGCCCAAAAAGCTGGACGCGTTGGTGCTATGTGACTTCCTTTTGTTGCCAATTTCCGACCCCAGTGCTCACGTTTTCCTGGCTATAATACATGCAGTCCGCGTTTACTACGTAGCCCCATGTCGGCGCGTATGCGTACTTTTTAGCACTTTTGTACTTTTAAGACCCAGTTCATTTGTTCTGCAGAACTCTTTTTCTCGTTATTTGAAGGTATGAGTTATATGATAGGATGACACTACGATTCAGATATCTTGTATATAGGTTAGAAATGCGATGCTCATAGAATTCTTAAAAAGATGGCGATATATTTATGGTTGAGTGAAACTATTATTCGGACAAATTTCGAATGAAATATTGTTCGATTCTATTTTATGGTATCATTAGCATCGAAGCGTTCGTTTGTTCATCTTACACTTGTGTACTAGATGGGCAGCAACGTGTTTCGATGGTTGTTACATTAAGAGTTGGATTATATGTATGACATTATGTTGGAAGCTATAGCCAAAATGGCGTGACTAGGGAGAACTAAAGCACGTTGGTTTCGTTAGGTTGACTAATAGGTGAAATACTTGTTGGAACATGCGCAGTAGCACAGAGAGTCTTCGAATGTGTATGGGTTGGGTCTTTTGTCAGAATAGAGAAATAAAAATTACATCTTAAAACGCACAAATTCTCAGAAATTGAAGCGATTTAGCTATCAGTTTAGGAACGACTCCCCTTTCCAAATTCTTCCTCTTTCCTGTTCTTTCCCTAGAAAATGAAAAAACAGTGTAATTGTAGCAAAATGGGATTGCATTAAAAAATGAGAGATCTTCATTTTATTCCATCGTCGTGTTGAGGCTTGAAGAACAATATTTTTGCTACACTAGAATTGAACTTTTCATTCATTTTTATTGAAACAAAGCTGTTCCAAAAATTTTATATGGTACTTCTCATCAGTAAAAACACAAAGAAGTCTCATCAAGCCACGAGGCTTTGGAGCTCTATGATTTTCTTTGATTTGAGTTTCCATTGTAAATTTAAACAGTAACTATGAAGTGAATGAAAGGCTGATCTAAATCTTATAATTCTTAGGAAGTATCGAATACTGTCGAAAATCGCCGCCGCGATCTAATCGAGAGTGTACGCGTGCGACGCGACGAGAAACGTAAGGTGCTTAAAGATCAGATCGAAGCGATCACGGACGAGAAAAAGAAACTGGCGAAGGTAGGCCGTTACATTCCTGGCAGTTTTTTGGTGTGTTTTTGTCTGAACTTTCATTTTCCATATTCCATGAATTCTTCCTGATTAATGTTCACTTACCTCATGAAGGTGATATCATGCAAAAAGGATGTTAAGTGCTCAGAAAGTTTTGTAGGAACTGGAATCGTGCCAACTGGATGTGCGGTCAATGGCTCGTCAGCTGAAGACCATGGACACTGGATGGGAACGTCAGCTGACACAACCACGGGAGAACGCCTTTTTGAAGCTGAACACGAATTCTAGCCAGCTCATTTGTGGTAAGTGACCTATATTTTTGTCACTGACTTGTAGTTTACTTCGTCAGACATACACAGGTGCTAGAGAGGTGAGATGCTCAGTGCAGTGGAGGGTAACAGAAAGGACGCTAACAACAAGTAACACGGCAGAATATTCTCTCAGAAGCAACGCTGGAGCACAGCCCTTCTTTATTCTTGGTGAGGGCAACTTCGTCCTGAATGCAGGACAGGACTCATGCGGGTAATGAGAAGTAAAACTGAGTGGCTTCACATGACATCGTAATAGGTCGCGCGTCAGGGGTTTCGATCTC